AAACAGCAAAAATCACCGAAGATGGCGGTGTCAAAAACATGCTCTCCCACCCACTATCTTGTTTTTTCTTGACATGGCAATCCTTGGCGATTTTCTTTTTTCCTTCTTGATAAATTCAAATTCCCTGAAAATTTACAAGGGTATACCTCACTTCCCAAAGAACCCACAAGAAAAAATAAAAACAATAATTAAAATATTATGTCCAAAAAAAAAAGAAACAGGAAAAAGGAAAACAAAAAACCTACGTTATCAGTCCTCCGATCGGTGGATGTCCTGGCCGGAGCCGTTCGACGTCCGATACCCTAGTTGTCCGGGATCCCAGACAACTCAATTTCCAACAATCAGGGTCGAAAAGAAAAATGGGGGTTTTGTGTACCCCGTGGACATTCAAACCGGAAAAAAAGGGGGGGAAACAGGTTGGGGTCGATGTTCCGCTGCTACAGGTGCAACAGGTGCAGTGGCTGCCGCATCTACAACATCTGCAAGGTCTGGTGCAGCAGTTATAGCATGTGCTGCATGTGCAGCATCTGCTGCAGTCAGATGCAGCAGGTGTAGAAGTTGCTGTGGATGCTGCAGCAGATGCAGCATTTGCTGCGCGGCAGATGCAACAGCTGTTGTAGCTGCAGATGCAGCAGCTGCTACAGCAAATGCTGCAGCCACAGACAAGGCAGCTGCTGCAGCAGGAGATGCATCTGCTGCTGCTGCAGCAGCAGCTGCAGGACTTCCAAAAAAGAAGGAAAAAAAAAAAGGAAATAGAAAACCGCTGCAGCCGCAGCAGCGATGTTTTTCTTTTTGACATTGCAATCTTTAGTGATTTTTCCTTTATGAGTCAGATTCTGTGAAAATTTATGAAGGTATAACTCACTTTAAAAGGAACCCATAAAAAAAAATAAAAATTTGAAGCCTCCCCCCCCAAAAAAAACAGGAATAAGAAAAACAAAAAAACATAAATATTAACTTGGAGAGCATGTTTTTGACAACGCCATCTTTGCCGTTTTTTATTTCCTTTTGCCCTACTGAACTAAATGTCCCCAAAAGATATACCTCAGCTGACGTAGAACCCATAGAAATAAATTCAAACAAAGAAAACAAAACAGGTGAAGTTCAGTAGGGTTGGACAGCAGGGTCCAGGAGGACATTTGGCCCGGTGGTCTGGTCGGGCAACCGTGACTGTCAGGGGCGACGTTCGCCCTGGCTACCTAACAAAAAACAAAATATTGACTCAGAGAGCATGTTTTTGACATTGCCATCTTTGATGATTTCTTTTTTCTTTTCCCTACTGATCCAAATGCCCCCAAAATTCATGGGCATATACCTCATCTGACGGAGAAGCCACATAAATAATAATAATAATAATAATAATAATAATAATAATAATAATAATAATATAGGCCAAGTTCAGTAGGAGCGGACACAAGGGCCTGGGCAGACGTTTGGCCTGGTTGTTCGATCGGACAACCCGGACGTCCACCCGGGTAAGCTAGCGCCAAAGTCACCTGCTGGAGTTGGGGGTTTGGGAGAGAATACATGGTGCAGACAACCACCCTCGTGGTTCTTTGCCCTTTACCAGGGGACACTGCTAAAGTACTAGTGGAACTGGAATAAGAGGACTACCGGGACTACCCTCTCCACCCGGAATAAGAGGACTACCGGGACTACCCTCTCCACCCGGCCCCGCTAGCTTCCCTGCACTCTACCTCCTCCCCTTCCTCCCCTAGCAACCCCGTCTGCCCCCTCTCCTCCACCTTCTTCTCCTCTAGCCCACCTGTTCCCCCTTCTCCCCTGTTCTCCTCCCCCCTTCTCCCCTCTTATCCCTTACTTATCCTATCCCAGTGGACCAAGCAAGACGCAACAGTCTCAACAGAAAAGGCTATGGCCACAGGTGGTCAGAGCGATGAAGGATACAATCACAATAGATCCTTCACCTTCGAGATCCTATTGGCCTTCACATGTTTTCTTTTCCAATTTGGCCAGTCAGTCACTTTCTTATTGAGGAAGAGTAATCGACGTTGACCATTCATTCAACTGTTGATTATTCAAGTGGGATGCCGGACCGATTTTGCAGCAGGTGCATCTCCCCCCCACACGCTTGGTTGGTGTTACAGCATGACACCCCACGTACTTAGTCCCCCATCCTACCGCTGCAGATAGAGCCTTGAGGAGTGTTGAGTGAGCAGCGCATGATGGGGTGTCGCCAAGAAGAGCAATGGATGATTTTTGGGGGGGCCGGAGAAGGGGTGGAGAAGGAACACTGCACTGAGGGGCTCTACCAAGAAGGGATTATTCTCGGAGGGCGGGAATAGACTGGCAGGGAACGGCCTGGGGAGCACTTGCTTTTCAGAGCATCATCATGGAGGGAGGTGAATGTTCTGGGGGACCAGTGGCAGACTACCGTCTTCCCCCGAACATAACGCACCCTAAAAATGAATGTATACAAGCTATATTTCCGGCCAGATGCAGCCAAAATAAGGGTGCGTTGTGTTCGGGGGAAGACGGTAGGGGATATGTCATGCTCTGGGTCATGGGTAGCAGGGTAGTGGCATGGGGCTGTAGACCGCTTGGTTCACCCTAGTGAAGCACCACTCTGTGAAGGTATCATCATGGAGGGCGGTGAGTGGGTGCAAATTAGGGGTGTGTTATACGCTGGGTCATGGGTGAAGTCACAAGGGTTTAGAAGTGGGTGCGAGACGATGGTTATAGAATGGCAATCAAGAGAAGATAATTAGACAGAACAGTACCGAGTCTAATGACAGGTGTACTGGCCTGGGGAAGGGGGGGGGGGGATAAGTCAGGCAAACGGGTGGGAGGGCAGGCGGGCAGGCACAAAGCAACACAGCAAGGCATGCAACATGATATGCACTAGGCTGCATATATATCAAGGCAAGCGGGTGGGCAAGTGGATGGGCAGGCAGGCAGGCAGGCAGGCAGGCACGCAGCAACACAGCAAGGCACCCAGGAAGGCCAGTGGGAAGACCGTATCAACACAGAAACTCACAGGTGTAGCAAGGATCAAAGCAGACTATCTCCTGCCCACATCGTACAGAAAACCATGCAGACTGCACGTTCGTGTCAGGGAACTACAAGGCCAAAATGTCTGTCACCACCAGGACACACAAAGACACGGCAGCCACTTAAACGGCGTTGCAGGCACTTCTAACAAGCTGTCACCACCAGGACACACAGAGACCATTGCGCACATCTTCACGGTGGTGCAGTTGAACACAAGAGAGCACTGGGAAAACTGAGAAGGAAAAAACAAACCGAAACATGTGAATGTGTGTGTGTGTGTTTGCAGGTTTGTGATATCAGAACATGCTAAGTTGCTCCATATACTTCGTGATACATCCGTTCCGGTGCGGCTGTGATATCAGAACCAGTTACCCACTTCTTTGTTTTCTGCCCCATCAAGTCTGGAGGGGAAATTTGCTATTAGACATTAGACCACCAGTTGTTTTCCCAGCCATTTTTGTGAGGCGCGGCTGTGCACGCCCCGTGATTTTCAGCGCACGGTCTACCAGGGGTACATTTGGCTGGCAGCGCCGGCCAAAAACGAAAACGCGGCAGTTCACTTTTTTTTTTGGTGCGCGACGGGTAATCCGCTTCAGCAAAAGGAAACCTCCAAGTACTGGTGGTTAAACTTAGGCTGACCGGACTGTGCCCAAAGGCCCACACACACATGCGGTTCCAATCAATGGAAGCAGACAAGGCATAAAGATATGGTACGTGGAGAACACTGTAGTAGTGATAGACCAACAAGGCATAAAGATATGGTACATGGAGGACACTGTAGTTTTGAGAAGATAAACATGTCCAATGCGCAAAGATGACAAGGAAAAAAAAACAAACCCACCCATAGATACAAGCAAGGATCAGAGTGGAGTGTCACCTACTCACATCATATCGAAACCCCTGCAGACTGTAGGTTCACAGCAAGACATAGAACAACAAGGCGAATGTATCACCACAAGAATACGGCTGGATCACGGGGGGAAAAAAAAGTGGCCCATCTCTCTCTCTCTCTCTCTCTCTCTCTCTCTCTCTCTCTCTCTCTCTCTCTCTCTCTCTCTCTCTCT